ATGACACCTATTTATATCAAGTGATTTTTAACTAGTTCGGACCGGTTCTTAGTGGTCCTGGTTTAGGACCAGCGCCGCTACAGATTTTGCACGTTTTAATAAGACTCGTGTACACTATATTGAAAAAGGATTACATCACATATTTAGTAATCACAAAATCGATTAGGAATTCAACCAAAACGATAATTAGAATAATATAAATTGGAAAAAAAACTTTTAGAAATCCTTCAAGAATTCGTTAACAGAAATGCAAATAATGTTGGTGTTTATATTAGAACTTATAGAAATCAAAATGCATATATCATGGTTGATTACACATCGTATTAATGAATTATAACTTATCATTAAGGGGAGAAAGATTATTTCTTATAGTCCGAATGGATACTCAGTGAATATCAATATAAATATATAACAAAACCACTATACAAATTAATGTAACTGTACTTTTAGTATGCGAAGATTTACTTGAACAAATCGCTAATTCTGAAGATAAAAGATATGATTTAATTCTACAATATTTAAAAATCTGCTATAATAATAAAAATAATAATTATAGTAATAAAGTATATTATAAAAGTGCAGAATTTTTTGTCTAACTGAAAGTTATATTTCATTATCATTCGAAGGAAGAGACAAAATTACTTCTAAAGACAATTACGAACTTAACTTTGAAAAAATTAGAAAAAGGACAAGATCAATTCTGAGTGAACTTGAAAAGATTACACTTATAGTTTAGTATTTTAAAATAAAATTTTATTGCATATCGAAGATCCCTTTATCTTTTTTTAATTAAAAAATAACAACTGCGATGTGGAATGTATGTTATGTATCGGAATAATTATGTAACGATCACATGAATAAACTTATACGTAGTAAATCACAGCGTTTAAGGTTTTAATTCTATTTTATAAGACCAAATTCCCAAAGATGCTCTGGAATAACTATATAAGAGTCTTCGTAATACCAAACATGTCTTAGGACGATCCGGTTTTCCTCGCACAGTTCTTTCTTAAATTGATCCTGCGCTTGATGTTTGATAAAATTAGGTTTAGGTAAAATTCGCTGACAGTCATTTCACCGACAATATTTCTGTGGTCAACACTAGCTATAAATCTGGCTAACCCAGTCCTAACTCGAAATCAGGCAGTCGGTGAATAGTTAATACCCTACTCTTTGACTCCTTTTACTCTCTGTTGTCATAATCTTTACTTCTTTTTATTTTTATTTTTTTGGTCTTGATACTTCCTTTTATATATATATATATATATAGTTTTTTATTTTTTTCTTTATTGCACCTTTTGTTAACCAAATTAGTATAGTCTAACAAATTAGTACGTATGTTTTTTTAAAAAAAATAAATAAATAAATTCTTAATAATATTAAGTTCTTAGTACAAAATAAGTCTTTAATTCGTGATTTAGCGGAGTACATTTCATCTCAAAACAATTAATATTTATAATTTGAAGCCAATTTTAAAATTTCTTGATTTATATAAAGTTAACAAATCTTCTAAGTTTCTAATAAAAATTGCTAAGGAAAATTTTTTTCAAAATTAACTTAATAGATCACAAGATATCTTTGTGATTATATGAAATTTCTTTGCAAATATAAAAATAGAAATATTCTGCAATTTATTAAATCAATTTTGATAATTTTATCACTATTAGAAAGAAAAAATTTTTCTTAGCAATTTTTATTAGAAATCTAAAAGATATTAATTTTACAAAAATTTAGAAATTTTAAAATTAGTTTCATATGATATAGATCATATAGGCGGATTTGACGCATTTAACATAATGTGATATTTGCGAATTGCTATCAATTTTTTGAATTAGGCTAATCAATTTGCTTTCTATAAATATAATATATATAGGTAATTGCCTATTTTGAACTCGTATCTAATAAATTTCAAAATATTTATTATATGAACTATTTATATAGGCAATTAAAATTTTAATATATAGTTGTAATTTAAAAATTAGTAATTTTTTAACTATCTTTTAATCTGTAGGCTATAAAGACAAATTTGTTTGCTTAATAGTCTAAATATAGTTGTAATCTACTTTTTTATTTTTTTATTTTTAAGGTGGCTTATATTGTTAGAAAATTTTTATTAGTTTTATATATGAGATTATATATAGATAATTCTTATCCCTTAATCTGTAGGCTATTCCAGGCAAATTTGCCTGGAAAATTTATGTAATAATACCTATGATCTATATTTT